ATGTCCATGACCTGGGTTCGAGTCCCAGGTCTCATGCTTTCTCAACAATATTTTTCCAATCATCTTCTCATGCAGCACAAGCGTTGGAGCTCACCATATTCCATCACCATCAAGCCAGCCACGCGTCTAGCTGCTTCAGATCAAAGGCTCCAGGTTGATGAACACGCTAAGCCCTAGTCCACGCGTTACATGCTACTCAAAAAAGGTCAACGGACACGCTTATTGGGCCAGAATCTCCATGGACTTTACCTCCAATTTAGGGGTTTCACCCCCTTAGGTTTTACAACTTTCTTTCTTTTTTTTTTGTTTCTTTTTATTATTTTTATATTCTTCTAATTGCTGCTTCATTTTAATTAATTAATATTTTCAAAATATAAAAAACATAAAAAAAATCAGAAAAGATAATAAAAACAATAACTTTATTTTAGTATTAATTTTGTAATTAAATTCCATAATTAATTTAGATTTAATCCTAGGTTATAATTTAATTCTTTTTTTCACAATAAACCAAAAATAATAAAAATAGATCTTTAATCTTTTTTTTTTTTTTTTTTTTGTTTAATTAAATATTTTTATCATTAATTATTAATTTTTGTAAATAAATTTTATAATTAATTAGTTTTAATTCTAGGTTTTAACTTTAATGCATTTTCTTTAATAAATAAAAAAAACAATTAGAATTAGAATTAATCACTTGACTTTTAATTAATTTAATTTTCTTTAATGTCATAAATACAAAAAAACATAAAAATAAGTCTTTTTTTTATTTAATTTAATTATTTTAACTTAATTATTTTAATTCCTTAAAGGGTCCAACGCCCTCGCATTCGGTCATATTTTCCTTTTTCGCGCATTTTATTTATTTTTGATGTAAATATAATGTAATTGTACCTAAGCCATGTAATAGCTATTAGACATTTATTTTCTACAATTTATTTTAAATCGGGTCTGGATTAATTTGGCGTTGTAGACCCGCGCCCTTGTAATAGCGTAGGACCTTTATCCTTTCCGCACTTTAAATTTTCACACTTTTAACTGTTAAACAATAACATGAAAGAATGAATGCCCAAAAATAAAACCAAAACGTAGATCACCAATGCATGACAAGACAAACAATAAACTGAAAATGACACACAATTCACACACCACCCCTAGGGTACGCTTCACTGTTGCCTTGCCCCTCGAAAGGTGGTCATCAAGTATAGGACGTCTTAGTGAGTCCTTATGTTCCATTGATCTAGTTGCCTCGAATAAGTTGCCTCGGAACGGTCGCCTCGGAATAAAAGATCAATGGCATAAGGGTAGCTTCTAAGGTATCTTACCATTGCTCTGGTGATCACCCTGTTGCCTTGCCCCTCGAAACGTGGTCGTTGAGTACAGGACGTCTTAATAAGTCCTTATGTTCCATTGATCTAGTTGCCTCGAATAAGTTGCCTCGGAACGGTCGCCTCGGAATAAAAAGATCAATGGCATAAGGGTAGCTTCTAAGGTATCTTACTATTGCTCAGTGTCCACACTGTCCCTAACCCTCGGATTGACCCGAACACCTCCAACGGTGGTGCTACCTACCTCTCAATGGTGGGATGTGTTGTACCCCAAATTTTGACCTAAGATACCGTCTCCCATCTGCATCATTCGCATTGCAAGAGTTTTCACATATTTTATCAAATTTTCAAAGCAGTTTAAAAATTCATAACTTTTTCGAGTCGGGGGCTGTTTATTTGTTGAACGCTAAATTTATTAACTGATCAAGACTTAAACAATGTTCATTAATTATTTATTATCTTAAATTCAAATAATTGGAATTTATTTTCGATTATTACGTAATTTAAAGATTTATAAATAATAAAAAGATTATTTGAGAAAAGGTTTATTAATTGATCAAATAATGTTTATTAATTATTCATTATCCTAAATTTAAATAATGGGAACCTGTTTTCCGTTATTATATAATTTAAAGGTTTACGAATAATGAAATAAACATTTGAAAAGGAGTCTATTAATTGATCAAGCAATGTTTATTTGATTATTTATTGTTCTAAATTTAAATAGCTGAAATTCTATTTTTTCAAGTTATTATAATTTAGAAGAATTAAAAATAATAATAAAGTAAATGATTGAAGTTATTAATTGATCAATGATATTTATTTATTTGTTTATCATTCTGAATTTAAATGATTAGATTTGATTTTCAGTCATTATATAATTTAAAGAATTATAAACAATAAATAAATAAATGGAAAGAAAAAGAATTAATTGAGAAATGATAGAATTTTTATTCACTTTATTCTATTTATTACAATTGTCATTTAAGTATTGTGTTATTACAAAATATTTATAAAGACAATTACACAAATGCTTAAAGTAAAATAAAAAGCTATTTTTCTAAATTCTAATTCTAATCTTCTATCCAATGCTCTTGTCTGCTCATTTAAATTTTACCTGCAAAAAAAAACGATTAAAAGAAAAGTCAGAATTGAATAAATAATTAAAATGCAGAAAATAAATTTAATGTTCATCATTAAAAGCAATGGCCGGAATCAGTTACTCTTTTTTGCAAATCACGGGATTTCTCCCGGTTCACAAAAAAGAGAGGAATTTTTAATGAATGCACAATTAAAAATAGCACATTTCAAAATTAATTGCATTTTTATCAAAAAAAGCCCACTGCATATTTCAAATATGCATAAACTCAATTTTGGTCAAAACTGCATAAACCATACAAAACAGCATATGCAAGTTCACAAACAAAAGCTAACGTTAACCTGCAACCACATAGGAGAGATATGCAAGACAAAAGAAAATGCAATTCCAACAATATGCAATTTCAAACATGTGCAGTCTTAAAACAATGAATGCAAGCAATATGTTTCCTTTTTTCATCATATTCCAGCCTGTTTGCTTTTTCAGACAGCAGTACAAGATATCACATTCATGTATCATTTATGTACTTGAGAGAGAAGAGAGAAGAGGTTCAGTTTTGCAGGTTTTGATTTAAGCATGAAATGGGAATAAAGTCAACCATATGTAGCAGCATATGTGCAGAACATCAGAAAAATATATTAAGATACTCAAACCTGAGCCATGACAAAAGAAGAGGCAACGGTCATATGAGAAGGGAACCCCTTCAAAAGGAAGTCTAAGCTTGCATATCTCTACCAGAACATCACTGCAAAATAATCCAGTAAAAAACCATATTCCATTTCCACACAAGATATCACTGCATAGTCCATTGAAAAACCATCTCTAAGCATATTGCTAAACCACAACCAGCATACTGCACAAAACATTCAAAACCTGCATATTGCTAAACCATCTCTAAGCATTTGCAAAACCACAACCAGCATACTGCTAAAATAACCTATAGCATATCTCTACACAACCATATCATTGCAAAACCATTCCCAAACAGAACCTACAATCAAAACCATTCAAAACCGTAACACAAGGCAAAAATCACATAACCTGCATCAAAACTATTCAAAACCATAGGCCATGGCATAACTTGCATACTGCATCAGAACCATTTTTCAAACATATTGCCAAACCATTCAAAAACCACATAACAAGCATATTGCTAAACTTGCATATTGCTAACCGGCATATTGCTAAACCTGCATTAACCTGCTAAAACCAATTATTCAATATTTCAACCAGTTTTTAGACGAAGAAGAAGAGAAGAATTAGTAGCAGAAAGCAAAGAGCGAGGAGTCTTCGGAGCTTACCTGACTTCGCCGGAATCGTACCGTCGGACTAGCTCCGACCATGTGAGTTTCTTCAGTTTTTTCGCATAAATCTTTATACCGTTGTGTTGCCTTTGTCTCACTGGATAATAATCCTCTCTCGATTTCCTGAAATCATGTAAAATGGCCATTTAATATCATTGCGAATCATCAATGAGCCTGCAGCAATACATTAATCCCTATTTAACACCGACAATAGCTCGATTGATAAATTTCAAAATTCAATAATGTCACAAGACCAACGCAATCATATAAACACTGTTACTTTTAAAGTCAACTCGAAATAATAAACAAGTTCACAAATCTGCTTCTTCTCTTTAATCAATTTCTCGTTAATTCAATCAAAATGGAAAAACCCACAAAACAAGCATGACTGACTTACCTTTGATTTCATCGATCTAACAAAGATATCTTCCTTCCTACACTTTCATCACACTTCAATCATCTCCGTGCCACTCGGACTGCACCTGTGGCTCAAGAAATTTGCTGTGGACAAGCCTTGAAGCACTTTTCCAACTCTTTAGGCACATATTTTTGTCTTCATTCTTCTCTTGCTGCCTAGGCATTGTTTATTAAAGTTAGTATTACTTGGATTTGAAGAGCTCAAGGAGAGAAACAAATATTCATGGAAAGTCACCGTTGAAAAAAATAGGAACGTATTATTAGCTTTTGCAAATCAATGACAGAATTTTCTTTTACTGAAAAAAACCAAAAAACATAACAACAATTAACCGCATCGTACCTCTCGCGGCCATTGTGAGCGCATCGCCTTTTCTGGTCACCCTACTCCGCACATCCCTCGCTTAATCACCATCTTCATCAACCTGTTTCAACAGTCACAACAATGTTTCAAAAATCTGGAAAATCATCACAGTACACATAATTCATAAAAACTCATAAGAGGTCACAAGAACTCACCTCTCAAAATGCTAACCATTCTTGATCTTCAAATTCCCTCCCCACCCTTTGGTCTCCTCGAACTCGCTTCTGCACCAATCGCATACCCTTACATTCAATTCCATCTTCGTACACCCTTAACCACTATCATCTTTCCGCTCTTCATCATTATCACTAAATCACTACACCATCGCAACACCCTGTCCAATTCCCTCCGCCATCCTTCCATCTCCCAGTTCTCCATCTACTCCCTTTGCAAACTGCTATGAAAAACAAACAACAACAGTTAAAGAAGCAGAATTGAAAAAGTGGAAGAAGAATCTGTGAAACACCAAACACACTAACAAACGGCTGGTAGCGATGTCAACTCCGGCTAGGAAGAGACTGATGAGAGATTTCAAGAGGCTGCAACTAGATCCACCTGCAGGAATCAGTGGTGCTCCTCAGGATAACAACATCATGCTATGGAATGCTGTTATATTTGGTCCTGATGATACTCCATGGGATGGAGGCACGTTTAAGTTGACTCTTCAATTTTCTGAGGATTATCCAAACAAGCCACCCACTGTACGGTTTGTCTCCCGAATGTTTCATCCAACATTTATGCTGATGGAAGTATTTGCCTGGATATATTGCAAAATCAGTGGAGTCCTATATATGATGTAGCTGCAATTCTCACTTCTATCCAGTCATTGCTTTGTGATCCCAATCCAAATTCTCCGGCAAACTCTGAAGCAGCACGAATGTATAGTGAGAGCAAGCGCGAGTACAATAGAAGAGTTCGAGAGACCGTGAGAGAGTTAGAGGGTGATGAACGTTTTTTCTGGGAGTTGAGCGTTAACAGCATGAGAGAGTAGGAAGTGTGAGAGTGAAAGAAAACGAAGTGGATTGGGAAGGAGATCGGAACGAGAAGGAAGGAAGAGACCCAGCGGCGGCGGCCACAGTACAGTTTCCCTAGGTTTTCTTGTTACAAGCATTCTGTGTTCTTTTCCTGGGTCTGGGTCCTCCATGACCCGCTCCACTCCCCTCAACCCAGCTCATTCCTTGTTTTACCTAAGCCCATTCTATTTGTTTTACTTAAGCCCATTCTCTTTGCTAATCCACACCCCATCTTTTATTTGGTCTTTAATTAAATTCTATTCATTTCTTAACTTAATTAATTTATACTAATTAGTTTCTTAGAAATAACATATAGTTTTAATTAAACAATTTTTAATATTTTATCCAAAACTTATTAGTTTGAGTTTTAATTTAGTAAATCAAAATAAGAGATGTAACTTAAAACATTTTTTAATCATTGACTAATTTTATTAATTTAAACTCTTAGGATTTAATTTAGTAATCTTAGTATCTTTTTAAATTAGACTTAAGTTAGTAGCATTAAGTTTTAATTTAATTTAAAGAATTCTTAAAAGTAATACTTTTTATTTATATTACGGAAAAAACATAAAAAATAGAAACATATAAAAACCTAAAAAACATTTCTATTAATTCTCATTACTTTTTATCCATGTTAAAATGCGTAACCAATTAAAACATTTTTTTTCTCTTCATATATTAAACAAAAATCTAAAAAATGCATGTTCACACATTCAGTCTCTTATTTAATTTGTTGTATATCATTTATCTCATAATTTTCTGTTTAAATATCTCGCATTTACTTGATTATTCTGTTTGCGTCAATCCAAAGGGAATTGTCTAATTTTTGTTGACTTCATGTCCTCAAAAACGATCGAGCGAATACTCTCATTCATTAAAAACTTAGGTTAATTTTCCTCAAATATTCACCTTTCTTCAAAATTTCAACCTTTTCAAGACTTATACCTTTTAAGCCAAAACTTCGACATTAGGTCGTCGTATTTTCAAAAACCCGTCCGTATCCCTTTTTCGGCCAAAACGATTTATTTTCAATCAAGCGATCAATTTTAAATAAAACAGATATTTCAAAAGGTTCCTATAGAGTACTATAGATGCATTGGGTGCTAATACCTTCCCATTGTATAACCAACCCCCGAACTCTCGATCTCTTTTCAAAAAACGCTTTGTATTTATATTTTTATTTACATTGCATATTTAGGGTTTTATTTCGCTCTTTTCCCTTTTCCTTTGGAAACAATAAAGCGCGGTGGCGACTCTTGCTTTTGTGAGACGAATTAATCAATAATTCGATCTCCGATTTACCCCGCTACATTTTTTATCGCTACAGAATTGGCGACTCTGCTGGGGAAAGATTGACCTCTTGTTGGTCCATCCCTAAGTGGGTTAGGCCTAATTTGTTTATCTGTTTATTATTATTTGATTTGCTTGATTATATGTTTAAATTGGGGTGTTTGGGTTTTTTGAAGGACGAATCCTATACCCGGATTAAGTAACACTTAAGGAATAGGACGGGCGGTATAGTCATGTTAACTTTGAGGGAGTAATCCCGAAGAAGGAGGCATGAGATCCCCCACTCAATGGAAGGCCCTCTTGAACTTAATATTTGTTTACCGAGTAATCGGGAAGACATTATTATTTTCGACCTAGGAGCCCGAGAAGTTGAGGACCGTAGAACCCTAACCCATCTTGGCCTTTTTCTAGGTGTAGCGCGGAGACTATAACGGAGTAATTCGGAAGTAGTTGTCACGCGATGCTACGCTCGGACGAGTTTCTCTTGAGAATATTGCTAATTATTGAGTAATCAAGACGTTGGTAATATCCGAAAGAGGGATGTAGACTTTGGGAACTCTTAGAACCTTGTCTTACAGGTGCGATTAAACTCTTAGTACGTACCTTGGGGATGTTTTTACCCTTGACTCCATGCTGAAACGTTGAACCTTTAAACCCCATGTTTTGACCTTGCTTGTGGTTGTTGCATCGCCATGCATTCATGCATCCATAAAACTCTTTTCACTTGACTTTGAAGGAGTTTGGAGGTCTTTCTTTGTAAACATCACTAGTTTCGTCAAACTCAATGGATCTTGGGTGTCGATAGGGCGAAAACCCTAATCCACCAAAATGGATGATTGATCTTGACGATAACTTGATCAATGTTTGGATCCAATTTAAAATTCATCTATTATCTCCATATTTGGACGTTTATAACTTGATATCTTGAGTTCCTTGAAAGTCAAATAAAACTCTCTTTTGCATATCATACATCATTCTACATTTTCTTTGTCTCACTTTCAAAGGTCTTTTTCCGAGTCTTATTTTTTTCCTTTGGTCTCACTAGTACAACACTCGCGCTAAGAGAACAATGGAGAATATCAAGCAAGAGGTTTCTGAACTCCGCAGAGAGGTGAGTATTCTGAAAGCTGGTTTGGATCACTTAACTGGTTTGGTGGAAATTCTGCTTGCCGCCCAAGTCAATCCTTCTAGGAGGGAGGAAGCAAGGATAAAAGTCTTCACGGAAACTCTAAAATCTTTTTCTCATGAAAAGGTGACGGTTAATGCACCTGATGACTTTCCTGACAAGGTGAATGTGGGAGCGCGTCTAGAAGAAGATGTCGGAAAAGGTTGTTTATATGAAGTGGGTAGCTCAGTTAATGGTGTGGAGAAGTTTGATAATGACTTTTCCAAGAAGAGAACCAGAGGAAGAGATAATCATCATCAGAATCATCACGTTCATCAACAGAATCAGCAAGTTCCTAATCAGAGGAAAACCCAGTTTGATTCAATTCCAATCACCTATACAGAGTTGTTCCCTATCCTGTTGCGGAGGAATTTGGTTCAGACCCGACCTCCACCGAAGGTCCCTAAGAAGATACATTGGAACTACAAAGCTGATTTGGCTTGTACTTTTCATCAAGGTGCTCGTGGGCATGACTTGGAGGGTTGCTTCGCTTTGAAGATTGAGGTTCAGAAGTTGGTCAGAGGTGGTATCTTGTCGTTCAAGGACGTTGGTTTTGAAGTTCAAATCAAACAGGCGCCGAAGAGTAAACACGATTGAGGGTGATTTTGGGTTTTTTTGAAGATGTTTTCGGTAGTTCAAGTGGAAAGCCTTCCCAGATTATTAACTTGTTTCTGTTTTTGTAGCTTTTCTTATTTATCGAAACATTGTTTGCATGTAAGAACTTGTTTGCGTCTGAATGATTATTTTAATACAATGAGTATGTTTGTCTTGAAGAAATTCATTCGTTTCACTCATATTTGCTTTCAAATTTTAAATTTCTTTTTGCATTATGATACCAACATGTTGCCCATTCTCTTGCCTAGGCAGAGATTGAAGGGGGGATGATGATCTAAAGAACACAAAATCTTTGGTTGCATGCTTTTGAATAAAATCTTGTTGATGATGTACAGGCATTGTTTCAAATCCCTAAACACCGGAGATATAAGGAAGATAATCCCTTGCTAACCCCTTTTGAACCTTTGAAGCGGAAGTTTCTTTTCTATACGAAAAAACCTTGAATTTTAACCTGGGGCAGGGTAGTTTTCAGTTAGTCTGATTGAGTGTTCAAAATTCGCAAGGAAGATGTTACCGTCACAAAATCCTTTGAGAGATGAACACTCATGTTGAATTAACCAAGCATAGGGTTGGAGAACATCATGAAGAATGGGTGGGCACCAAATATTTTGAGCCTTAAAATCTTTTTCTAAAAAAAACCACGAATCAGACCACATTACAACCTTCAAAAGTCCTAATTGAAGCAAGGTCATTCTGAAAGCATACTTCAATGAGATAGTGTTCCTGACTCCCATGAATGTTAATTAATTATGTTGGTATCATATGTTTTTCCTATACAAAAGTAAATGATGCTCTAACTCGCAAAATTTGTGCGATATCTTTTCAAAATCTTCAAGACTTACATAACTGTTGCATTAGAATTTTCATTCTCATTGTAAACTTTTTCTAACTGCAAAACATTTGCTTGATATCAAGGAAGCTCACATAAACACCAGTGATGAGTTTACCCTTTTAAGGCTTGAAACTATGTTGAGTAATTGGGAATCAATTCAAGAAAATCATATCCAGGGGCATGTCAGTTGAAGACCTTAAGCATGGACAGGTTGCTTCTCCTAGTTATGTTTTTCCCAATTTGTTTGCTCGTTTGGGGCAAAAATTCGAAGACTTTGTTGTGCCGACTACAGTCAATCCGGGGCAATCGCGTCAAGATTGGATGATTTCCTCTAAGAGTTTGAAGACACCAGAGCATGGTGAATGCCAGGTCTTTTGTAAACCTTCTTGAGACGTTTTCTCCTCATCAACCATTTTTCTTGGGGCATTTGAGAAGTGAAGCTACTTGTAAGAATTGTCGTGCAACATGTAGCTCATCAGCAGTGAGTTTGGGGCATCCAATTTGGTCCCAGGGGCAATCTAGACTTGTCAGAATGTGTGTTATGTATCGCACACTTTATCAGAGGGTGGTGTTCCCAGTATCTCCAGCTAAGCATGACTCTTTTTCAGCTGAAACGTTGTTCGTGTTGTTATCCTTTCGTTGGGTTGTCGGCAGTGGAGGACCGGACTTTTGGGTTTTCTACCTGAAGTATCTTCTCCTCCAAGAGATTTAAGCCTTGTAGAAGGATTTTACAGCATTGTTGGCTTTTGTCTTCTATCTCCAGTGATGTTCCCCTCCTTTTGAGATTAGCCGAGCGCCGGGTTGTACTGTGATGTCTTATCATCTTCTGTCCATCTCCCCTATCGTTTTTGTCAGCATATACATGACATTCATTTGTTCATTCACACTTGCATCATGCACGCACAGTTGTATTTGTTGATGTCATTAAGTTCGTACACCTTGGTTGTGCCTTTTCAAATAGCACATTTGATCTTTCCAAATAGAGTGTCAACTTAAGCATAAAATGTGCCTCCTTTCTAATTCCCCAATTGAGCTAATCCTCGTGGATGATTTTTGATTTAGCTTACCTTGTCCAT